AGAGAGAGAGAGAGAGAGAGAGAGAGAGAGAGAGAGAGGAGAGAGAGAGAGAGAGAGAGAGTTGGAGACTGCCCGACGACGGAGACCACCTTCGGAAAATGGATCCCTCCCCAGCGGTCCGTTCTGGCCGGGACAACCTTTGACCCGGTTTGCCGGTTTGGCGCAGGGGCAGGCAGACAGCCGCAGGCGAGCGAGCCAGCTGACGACCGGGCGGCCCTCCGTCTCACTCGCACCCCTGCGCCGCGCCCTGGGAGTGCGAGAGAGACGGAGCGGTGTTCGGCACAGTCAAAGCTAGGCGAGGCTAGGCGAGCTGGGTGACCCCTGCCGCCATTGTGCTCCCTTCGGCCTTTCGGCCCTTCGGCTGCCCGGCAAATGTAATAAGCCGCCCCGGGCGAGCGTCGCGCCTCATGACCGACATTGTCCCCGCATCGTAGGAAAGGTGCTGAGGTTTTTTCGTCCTGCCTACTGGTTTTTATTTATTTTAGTTTTTGTTTTTGTTCGCCGGGAGCTGCTGCTGCTGCGGCCACCGCCACGCTGGTCAGCGCAGGTCGGTCCGGAGCAATAACAGAGGTTACTGGTCCCACAAAGGGAGCCTTGAGGCGAAAAGAGGGCCGAGGCGGGGCGGCGGGGCGGCGGGGTGGGCGGCGGGGTGGGCGGCGGGGCGGCCGGCGGGGTGGGTGGGCGCCCGTCCGCCCCGTCCGTGCTGCTGGGACTCAAGGTGACTCGCCCAGCTGGACACATACCTGCAGGGCTCCCCTCGCAAGACGGCGCGCGAGGCTGGCGGGGCTGGCGAGGCACACGGCGAAAGAAAGTGGACCCCGCACCCCTTCCGTCCGTGCTCCCGCTCCGCGCTCCGCCAAAATAAAGTAAAGCCCCCCCCCCTCCTCCGCGGAGGCACGCCGTAAAGCGCGGGGAAATATGACGACCACGCCGCGAGTGTCCGCGCGTCCGGCCTTGACGAGCTGCCCGCCGAGCGGACGGCGGACGGCACGGCGCGGCCATGGCGGTGACGGTGCCTCTGCCGCGGCCGACGTGTTGCAGCGCTTGACAGCTCCTTCCAAATAAATGATGGATCGGCCGACCGGCCCGACCCACTGCCACACGGCAAGCACACCGGACGGACGCGCCGGCCAGCCAGGAGTCTCCGTGTCTCTCTCGCACCCCTACGGGACGCCCACGAGTGCGAGAGAGACAGAGAGAACCACGAGCGCGTTGTTCGGAATCGGCCTGCAGGGGCCACGCCGGCCACGCCACTGCGGGAGCGGTATGCTGCCTGCCTGTCACGCGCGGTGAGGCGGCCGGCCCCGCGGCCAGCCTCTGAGGCGGTCTGCGCTGCGCGGTCTGCAGACTGATTCCGAGAGTCGTTTTCGTCGCTCTGTCTCTGTCGCACCAACACGGGACACCACATGAGTGCGAGAGAGACAGAGCGACGAGAACGACTCTCGGAATCAGTCTGCTGGGCTGCGCGGCTGGATGGCCGGGCTGAGGGGACGTCCCGTCCGCCCTGTCGGTCCTGTCCCGCTGTTGGCATGAATAACTCTCCGAGAAAGGGGTGCGGTGGCGCAGCGCGACGCAGCACGACGCCGCGACGCCACGAAGCACGCCCGGGCGGCCGCCAAAAAGCACGACGGCCACGGCCCCAGCACGCGCCGCAGGCCACCAGCCAGGCCAGCCACGCCCGCAGGGCCCGCAGACTATAAACCATACCCCTTGACAATAGTTCCCCCGACCCGCCAAGATTTACTGCCCGTTTCGGATCCACTTCTTTTCTTTTCCGCGACATGTCACCGAGAGGAGCGCCGGCGCAGCGACCAACTTCTCCTTTTGTTTCCATTTTTTTGGCACGGCGCACTGCGCTGCACGCATCTCCTCCCGCCACACACGCACAGTGGGCCAGAAGGCCGGCGCAGAGGCCAAAACTCCAGACGCGTTTTGAGCTCCAGAGTCGCTAAGTAGGCCTCGAACCGAACGTGTGACCCCACCAATGGATTCCTCGTTCGGAGAGCAATCCATCGGTGGGGTCACACGAACGTTTCGAGTCCTGTGTAGCGACTCTGGGGCTCAAAACGCGTCTAGATTTTTGGCCGCTGCGCCGGTCTTCTGGCCCACTGTGGCACGCCGCAGTCCACGCATCGCGACACAGCGCGACCGAGGACGCCGACGACGCCGCCGAGTCGTCGTCTCGCCGGGGAGGGGAGGGAGGGGAGGCACCGCGTTTTGACAGCCCTGCGGGGAGCGGGGTTGGTACGCGGTAAAAGTGAAAGTAGGGGCGCCGAGGGGCGCGCGGCGAGCAGCCGGGGGGGCGCCTTATACTTTTTGTGGGCGCGTTCGGCGCGTTCCCACAGGCCGCAACATAAGAAGTGGAAACATCAACCCGGCCGCCACGGCCCCCTGGCGCGCGGCGCGGCGCGAGTGCAATGTCGGCGGGGTGGATGGCGGCCGACGGAAAGGGGGGGGGGGGGGCACGGGCACGTGCGGGGACGGGGCGACGCCGAGCCCCGCCATGCGTCTTGCTGAGCCCTTACCTCGCATGCGCTCGCATGATTGCTGAATAGGCCCTTCGCCCCGACACGCTCCGACGGCCGGGCGTGGCAGGCCGGGGTAGGGCGTGGGGCCCCAAGGGCGCAGTCGCGCGCGCCCCGCCAACAACGAGAGAGAGCCCTTCGGAAAAACGGGCAGGATGGGGGGGGCGGGGGGGGGGGCACGGCGACGGGGAGAACGCCTTCAGGCGGGCCGGCTAGATTACTGAGGCCGAGACGGACAGCGACAGCCCTCATGCCAGTCCCCTGCGTCTCCGGGATCGTGCCGCACTACACCACGTGGGAAACACGCCTGGGGGCGGCGGGGGCGGCGGGGGCGGCGGGGTGGCGGCGGGGGCGGGCGGGGGCGGGGGGGGGGGGCGGCGGGGGCGGCATTCGTCCTCCGTGTAACGAGGCGGAAGATTAGTTTAGTTTCAAGTCAAGGAGGAATTTCTGGCGGGCGCTGTACATCTGCTCTGCCGCCTTCCCCCTCCACCCGCCCCACTTGAGCGCGAATGGAAGAAACTGTATAGGGCACACGAGACGTTGCTAGGCAACCCGTCGTACGCCGCTACGCCGCCGTACGTAGCACGCTTGGCTTGACTGCGGCACAGCTTGGGCTTCGCGTTTCGCTACAACTACACTGCGAGCCGCGCCGCGCCGCCGGGGACTCATTTGTCAGCATCGGGATTCTCCCCTTCGACGGAGCTTTGGGGACACGGCGTGGAAAAGGGGGAGGCGGGGGGGGGGGGGCTCGCACAGCTTGCAAGGCTTGCCAGCAGAACTTTGCCCCGGTTTGCCCTGGTTTGCCTTGGCACCAGCCTCCGCGTGGGTTTACCGAACTATCCGAGGGAAGAGGGACGGGGGAACGCGCTAAGCTCAGCAAGCGGGGACACTCATCAGCCGCGCGCCGCGCGAGACCAGCCCGCCCCGACGGCGCCGCCCCGACGGCAGCGCCCCGACAGGACTCTTCCAAACGCCGAGGTGGCAGTATCGTCGGGTGGCTCGACTGTAGCGTGGGGTAGCGACGCGACTGGAGGTTGGTGGTTGACGGCTCGGTGCAGCAGCAGCAGCCGAGCCATCAAGTCCCCCTCACTGGGCAGGCCAACCAGGCGAAGGCATTTCACACGCCACGCTCCAAGACGGGGGGCCGGGCCGGGCGGCGTGGCGAGGTGCCCCGACGGGGCGGCGGGGTGGGGCACGTCACGGTGCCAGGCTTCGACACCCCAGCGAGGACGCGCTTCACTGCGTGTCGGAGAAGTGGCCCCCTGACCCGGCGGGGCGGGGCGGGGCGGGGTGTGGTGGGGCGCGCTTAGCGGGTTGCCTAACTGCCGTTGCCGTGACAAAGTACGGTCCTGCGGTGGGTTGCAGGGCAGCGCAGGGCAGCGCAGGGCAGCGCAGGACTGCTGCTAACGGCCTCACCACCACACCGCCGCCACATCGCCGACACCCCGCGCCTTGTCCCTTGTCCCCGACCGACTCCCCGACCGGCACGACAAAGACACAGCGCGGCCAGGCGGCCCCGCCCCGCCCCGCCCCGCCCCGCCACCTCGCCCCGCCCCGCCCCGCCCCGCCCGCCCCGCCCCGCCCCGCCCCACACTGCTTGGCAGTAAACTTACGCCGCGGCACGCTCCCCGCCGCCCCGCCCCGCCGCCAGTGGCGCCAACCTTGTCGCTCAGCCGCCAAAATCACGACGGGACACTACACCGCCAGAGGGAGAGAGTGAGGGGGAGGGAGCGTGAGAGAGAGGGTGAGAGGGAGAGAGAGGGTGAGAGGGAGAGAGAGGGTGAGATGGAGAGAGAGGGTGAGAGAGTGTGAGAGGGAGAGAGAGGGTAAGAGGGACAGAGAGGGAGGGAGGGAGAGGGAAGGGCGGGGGCGTCAAGACTGTGGGCGCATCGCCTCGGCGTATTATTGCCTGCAGCCTCCTTCCGAGGCCCCTCTTGATGGCAGCGAGGGTGAGTGGTGGCCCACTGGTGGGGGAAGCGGGGCGTCCGAATCGAACCCCTCCCCTCCCCCTCCCCCTCGCACGCCTGCCAACACAATGCGCGCACCTCCCCAAAACAAAGCGGCCAGAGCAGACAGAGCCAAAACGTTCAAGTTTAACTTAGCGCGGGGGAGGGGGAGGGGGGTGGCACAGAGGAAAGGGTGCAGCGCGCCGCTTGCGCGCGGGGAGTTTAGCCTGGGAAAGACAAGACGGCCCGCTCTGTCTCTCTCGCACTCATGGAGCGTGCCGTGGCGTTGCGAGAGAGACAGAGCGCGCTACAGTGTAGCTCGGCGGCTGCTCCAGCGCCGCCGTGGGATCCTTGACGGCGCGGAGACGCCGCCATGCCGCGGTGGTCTGCCTGGTCCCCACGGTTCGCCGTGGTTGCTGCGCGTGCCCGTCGTGGCGTCGTGCACGTGCAAAGTCGCCGCTGGAAGCCCCCGACTCGCTTCCCCATCTCGCACAAATCCCGGCCCGCTCCACCGCAGGGAGGTACTCACAGAGCAGCAGCAGCAGTGCCGGGTAGAAGCCGGCGACGTTCTGCCGCGCGTCGACGGCGTGGATCCAGTTCGCGAGGGCCACGCGGAAGCCGTACCTGCCAAACAGGAACCGGAGGCACGGCAAAGTTAATGTAGAGGCAATAGGTGCGCCGCGCTGCACAGTGGGCCAGAAGACCAGTGGAGGCGGCCAAAACTCTGGGCGCGTTTTGAGCTCCAGAGTCGCTAAACAGGACTCGAACCGAGCGTGTGACCCCACCAATGGATTCCTCGTTCGGAGAGCAATCCATTGGTGGGGTCACACGTTCGGTTCGAGGCCTATTTAGCGACTCTGGAGCTCAAAACGCGTTTAGAGTTTTTGCCGCCTCCACTGGTCTTCTGGCCCACTGTGCGCTGCCGCGCCGTGCAGCCAGCCCCGCACCGCCACCACCCACTTGTTCATGTTCTCCAGCAGCAGACCGGCGGCGGCGAGGGTGGTCAGGCAGAACAGCAGGTTCATGAAGCCCTTCAGGGACACGGACTTGGTGTTGTTCCACGTGATGAACGCGCTCCGCTCCCGGTGGCACCTGTGCGGATCGGGCACCGACATTAGCCACACTCCGATGAGAGTTTTTTAAAAAATCAACGCCAAAAAAAATGCATGAAAGAGTTGAAATAAAAATTGACTGTACTTGTTGTCCAGCGGAGACTTGAAGGGCGCCGGCTTGACGTCATTGTTGTTGGTGGCCGCCTTGGCAGTGTCCTTGTCGCGGAGCCGCAGCTCCGAACCGCTTCCTGGAGACATGGCCTGCTGGACGGGGGGGCGGATGGGGGCTGGAACAGAGTAGAGAGCAAATTCGTGTCACCGCGAATTATGGCAGCGACGCCGAGCCCTTCCCAAGGTCATCCGCCAAGGCCGTCCTGCACCTCGGCGATCCGAAACCCCAATAATATCGCCCCAAAATGGGGCTCAGGTTCCCCCTCAAGGGGAATAAATCTTTATTTTCTTCAAGGTGTCTTTTTTTTTCAGTGGAAGAAAAGAGAGAGGTTGTTACGGCCCTGCAGGCCGTGGGGCTGGCAGGCGGGCACTGGGGCGGCCTCCACGGCGGCGACGCCACGGTGACGACGCCGTGCTCCGAGTTGCTCTGCTTACGACTTACGCCAAGGGCCATTCCGCTCCGTGCGCCTCGCGCTTGGCGTGCTCCGCGAGCCGCGCGTCGCGTCGCGGCCCGTGTGCGTTACGGACGCACGCAGGGCAACGCGGGTCATACGGCATTGCAACAAAGTTGGATTAGCGGCTCGAGCAACAAGCCGTAAGAGAGCGCGCGCGGGCGGCGCAGACTGGCGCAGCACAATGGGCCAGAAGACCGGCGCGGGCGGTCAAAACTCTAGACGTGTTTTGAGCTCCAGAGTCGCCAAATGGGACTCGAACCGAACGTGTGACCCCACCAATGGATTCCTCGTTCGGAGAGCAATCCATTGGTGGGGTCACACGTCCGGTTCGAGTCCCATTTAGCGACTCTGGAGCTCAAAACGCGTCTAGAGTTTTGGCCGCCTCCGTCGGTCTTCTGGCCCACTGTGCGCAGACCCCCGCCTTCAGACACCCTTCCCTCCCCTCCCCTTTCTCTTTCCCGCGTCAAAACACAAACAAATGACACACGCGGAAAAGAAAGGTTATGGTCGGCACGGCGGGGCGAGGCGACGCAAAGGCGACTCGGGGAGATAGTGCGAGACGCGTAAACAAATCCATTGACGCGGCACGCGCTGCCCAACGCCCAGAATGACACAGTGACGCAGCAGTTTCGCCGTGCCGGTGGCTAACCTCACTTCGCACGCCGCCGGCCGACCGGCGGTCCGGAGCCGAGAATGAATGGGATGAACGCACTCGCTGTCGTCTATTGCAGCGAGCAGTTCGTCCTGTCACGTTAAAGCCGAGTACCTTCCGGGTCGAAGAACAACAGCGCCGGCCGTAATCGTCCAGTAAACACAAAGACTAGAGTGATTACCAACAACTACTCCATGACAACTCAACGACAACAACAACAACAACACAACCTCCAGCGGCGTAGGGCTGCCAACGTATACATTGGCAGCACAAACACTGACCAAGAGCAAGCGAAAGGAATATTCTGCACGGTGTTGGACTACTAGGAGTTAAAAATATTGTGCAATCAGCCGGCTTCACTCAACCGCCACATCGTCATCCTCGTTCTCAGTAGAAAGCTTAGAACTGCGGCCGTACGCCTCAGTCTTCGGCGGCGCAGCGCAGCACCCCTTGCCCCACAGATGGCGCCACAGCCGCGCGGCGGTCGGCCTGGCGGCGCGGCACGGCGCACTGTAGGCAACCCAATTGGCGGCGGCGCGTCCCTGGTCACTTTCCGAGCGCCCCGACGAGACCGGACTACCGGACTGGAACCAGACCAGGGAGATGGAGAAATAAGCTGCCAGCAAAGTCCGCTTTTCCGAGCGCGGGTCTGATCGTTGGGCCTCCGGACTGCCGCGGTAGGGAAGGCCCTGCTCGCAGCGCTGCACCGCGCCGCCGTGCGCCGCCGAGCGCAGTCCCGGTGCTGCTGGCGGCCAAGTTGGTCCAAGTTGCGGACGTAGCGGGCACCAGGCCGCCATGCCGCCAGGCCCAAGAAGTTGTCCGGCCCCTCGGTCCTCGGTGTGACCGGCCTGCCCCGCGCCTCCGCCAGGACCTCCCACCGCCAGAGGCTAACCAAACTTACGTCCTCTGCCGGCAACTTTTAATGCCCGCGCGACCCTCAATTTTTCATACATTTTCTCCCCGGAAGGCAGAGGGCCTACTCACTGTGGGGCCGTGTGACGGGGACGTGCTGGGACTCGAGGACGCCGTCAACGATCTCGCTCTCGTCTCCACGCGTGCAGGGCGAGCAGGACGGGCTGGACTGGCGCTCGCAGCAGCACGCCGTACCGGACGTACCGCACCGACTGCCGGGCCGGGCCGGCCGTCGTCGGGTCGCTTCGTCATCGCGCTGCACCACGCCGCATTTATCGTCTTTATCGCTCGGCCACTGTTTCGGCCGCGGCAAGGCGGCCAGCTCGGGTCAGCGATAAGCCAAAGCCCGGCCGGTGGTGTGATGGGGCGGCCGGGCGCCCCGCGACCAGAGGACAGGACGACGGCGACCCCGCAGCACGCAACGCGTAGCGTTATAACGCTGCGTCACCGCCGCCGTCACCGTCGTGCAAGCCGCTCTGACTTTCCGCCCCGGAATCGTTCCCACAGTCATTGCCCCGCATCAGGGCCGCATCAGCGCCGCACGGAAGAGGAAATTGTTTATCATGCCATTCCAATAATGGCGTTTGCCGTTTCCGATTTGGGATTCAAGTGGAGCTGGCGAGTGTGTGCGCGCGCGCGTATCAGTGTGTGTGTGTGTGTGTGTGTGTGTGTGTGTGTGTGTGTGTGTGTGCAAAAGTGTATGTGTGTGCGAGGAGCCTAATTGGCGGCCAGAGCGGTGCCCGTCACGTCAAGCACGTCAAGCGGGTCACCTGCCTGATGAATGAGCCGTGTGTGCGTGTGTGGGTGTGTGCGGATTCCCCGCCCCCATCGACAGTCCGGCGAATCCAAAAATGCGTCCCGACGGCGCTGCTCAGCGCTTCGCTTTGCTTCGCCGCGCTTCGCCTCGCACAGTGGGCCAGAAGACCGGTGGCGGCGGCCAAAACTCTAGACGCGTTTTGAGCTCCAGAGTCGCTAAATGGTACTCGAACGGAACGTGTGACCCCACCAATAGATTGCTCTCAGAACGAGGAATCCATTGGTGGGATCACACGTTAGGTTCGAGGCCTGTTTAGTGGCTCTGGAGCTCAAAACGCGTCTAGAGTTTAGGCCGCCGCCACCGGTCTTCTGGCCCACTGTGCCTCGCCCTGCTCCTCGCGACCGCTCCCTACGTGAAGGGGGTGGGAGCAGCCAGTGTAGTGGTGGCGGTTCGCATTGAGGCGTCGGTGGCGAATCACGGTGCGCGACAATGCGCTCGAACAGAGAGACGCCGCCCTCCCCTTGCCTCTTCCCCCCGCGCCTGGAGACGAGAGGCTGGAGACGTCAAGCAGCCGAAGCAGGCAGCCCGCCGCGCCACCGTACTGCCACCGTCCCGGACCGCACGCCGCGCACAGCCTCTACGACGACGACGACGGTCGACGCCGTTCACGCTCCGCGACGCTTCGAGTCGCTTGTCGCTTCCCTCCCATGCAAAACGGCTCGGCCACGCCACGCCACGCCGCGCCACCATGCTGATGGAATCACGGAACCGACTGTCGCCATGTGTGTACCGGTCCAGAGTGGTGGCACGGACGGCGCGCCGCTACGCGCGGACTCGTCCACTCGTCCCGCTCCGATATTTGCATACGGCTCGTCGCCGTTGTTCTTTTCATCACGACCTTGGTCGTCTCGTTCTTTGTTGTTGCTGTTGTTGTTTATCGAGTGCGGCGCGTCCGCGCTCTCCCTGTCTGCCATCAATCCGAACTAATGATTCGCCGTCGCGTGCGTGTGGGCGTATGATTGAGTGGGTGTGCGTGAGTGCGTAAGTGCGTGCGTTGGTGCACTGGCAAAGAGGGGGGGGGGCGCAAAAAGCCCGTCGAATCCCCACCTCCCCGCGGTGCCGCGGTGGTGGTTCCCGCAACCACCACACATCCAACTTATCGGCGGCACACTCGTGGGGGCTGTTTTGCTCACCGAACATCCTCTTCCTCGGTGCCGCGCCGCGCCGCGCCGTGCCGTGCCGTGCCGTGCCGCGCCGTGCCGCATTAGCCGCGAGTGCACTTGATGGCGGCAGTCCACGGTAATAGCAGCCTGATAGTAGTGATGGCGCCTAATTTTGTTAACGAGTCCAATCAAGCCGCGAGCGAGGCGCGGAACGCCCCACGCGGTGTGGTGAGCACTGGCCGCTCAACACATTCGCATTCTTAACTTTTCAGAAATAACCCGACAATGGCATCCATTCACATTCGGAATCTTTTAAAACATTTACCTCTAGGTGTTCAATGGTATTCGGAACGTCTACGATGGCAAAAGCATGCAAAAAGAAGTCCACGGTATTCGAATTATTGATAACTGTTCTTGTTCTTTGGACGCAAGTGGCGAGGGATGACACCTCGGGCGAGACGCTCCCCGAGTCCAGGACTCCTGTCTGCCCGGTTTGGTCGTCTGACCCGCATCAAACGACAACAAGCCGCGGCTTTGCTTTAAAATTCCCGCCCCGCCTCGACTGGCGCCACACTGCCACACTCACAGAGCAATCGACGCGTTCTGAAATGAAATAGCAATGACAGCCCCGGCCACTCCGCTGGCGCCGCTGCACTCCCCTGGCTGCGTTCGCGTCGCGCTGTCGACCACTGCGCACCACCGCGATTCATTCCACTTCCACGCCGCCACGGAGCCGCAGACTGACTCCGAGAGTCGTCTTCGTCTCTTTGTCTCGCTCACGCCGATACGGGACGCCCCGTGAGTGCGAGAGAGACAGACCGACGACTCAGTCCGCGGCCCGACAGTCCGCCACAGCGAGGGGCATCAAGGAGGAAGCGGCCAAGTGGCGAAGCTCGCGAAGCAGGTGAAGCAACCGTGGAAGGCGCATTGCCTGCCTTCGCCTCGGAGCTACCGGGCTGCCAGGCTGCCAGGCGGCAGCAAGGAGAGCTCCTTGAAATGAGTTTGGTTTAAGAACGCAATATAAAGCCCCTTACCCGCCGCGCCGCCACGCCGCCACGCCGGGGCAGCCGGGCCGCCAGCGCCAGCCAGCGCCAGTCGGCGGGCCGTGTGTTTATTTATCATTTTTATTATTACGAGGTGCGCGATGTGGGATCCGCGATGCGAGATGCACGATGTGGGATCCGCGATGTGGGATCCGCGATGCGGGATGCGGGATGCGTCCCTACCAGGTAGACACGGCACTATCTGCAACGGAAGGCAGTCCTAGCGAACGGGCTTCCTTGCACATGCACGCTGTACAGGGGAGAGGAGGGGGGAGTGAAGGTGTGCGGTCTCTGTCTGTCTGTCTCTCGTCTCTCTCTCTCTCTCTCTCTCTCTCTCTCTCTCTCTCTCTCTCTCTCTGTGTGTGTGTGTGTGACATGGGCCCTCTACTAACAGGACTCGGATGACGACACACTGATCGGTGATCCGCGGGCGCCACTACAGCAGTATTGCGATGCAGGACGAGAAGCGCCGCGTGCACACCAGACAAGCGTCCACGCACACACACGCACACAGACGCATAGCACTCGAACAAACAGATAAGCAGTTGCGCACACACACACTCACACACACACACTGCGCACGCGCCGCCACTAAAGTGCAGTCGCGACCGGCAACGCGAATGCATGGCACGCATTATCCAGCGGACGACCGATGCCAGAGGCGCACCGATGTGATGCTGCGTGCAGCCTCACAGTGCACCACAGGGCGAACACCGCGTCCCCTCGAAAGGTCATCACAAAAATTTCCAAAATTTTGTGTTTAACACATGGAGTGAATCCAGCCCTCCACAACAACTCGAATCTAACGCTTTAGGGGGTTACTGTACCAATGAGTCTCTCGTTCGTTGGCACTGCAGTTAATTGGCCATCGGCACGCTTTGGTCTGAGCATCCTCGGAGGACTTTGGCGGCGGAAACACGTGCCCGCCTTCTTAGCCACGCCACTGGCTTCCCGGAATGCCGCTTCCTAGGCGAGCTGCAGGCCACACAGGGTTTAATCTCCCTTGTGTTGCGCGCCCTATCTCTTTCTTTTCCTCTCGATTCAACCTTTTCCTCTCCGCCTCTCTATCTCTCTCTCCTCTCTCTCTCTCGCTCTCTCTCTCTCTCTCTCTCTCTCCGCTTTGTGCCATCCAACGACTATCTTTGGAGATTGCTGCCCTCCGCGACCCACACCCGCCGGCAAATTTCACCTTTAAGCAGCAAACGACGATGCCCTGAGCCAGGCGGCCTTCGAGGGAGTTTTGGAGAAAAGAAGTCGAAATAGCTGTCCCAGGAAAGACAAAATGCAACAAGCGATGGCATGGCTTTCTCACGGTGGCTCATCAGGCTTGGGTTGACCTGGAAAGGTAAGAGGTCCCATTCTTGCTGGTTTTCGTTTCCGGATGCCGAGGAGGCCAAGTGTCAGGCCTGCTTATCGAAGCGGCCGCGTGGACTTTGACCTGCTGGTGCGCTTGGACCGAGGCTGGACGACCGGACAGCCGCACGGCGCGGCAGGACTTGAGAGGCCAAGTCGGAGGGAGCACAGTGGGCCAGAAGACCGGCGGAGGCGGCCAAAACTCTAGACGCGTTTTGAGCTCCAGAGGCCTCGAACCGAACGTGTGACCCCACCAACGGATTCCTTGTTCTGAGAGCAATCTATTGGTGGGGTCACACGTTCGGTGCGAGGCCTGTTTAGTGACTCTGGAGCTCAAAACGCGTCTAGAGTTTTGGCCGCCGCCACCGGTCTTCTGGCCCACTGTGGGGAGGGAGGCCGCGCTGCAGGCTGCACCGCGAGCTAGCGGCAGGCGGAGCGTCAGCCGGGCGGGCAGGCAGCCCAGCGCACAGCCACCGCCACTCAAACGGAACACGAAGTCGCATCGACTCCGGACGCGTTTCGGGCTCTTTTCCTCGAATGAGACTCGAATCAAACACCAACCGATTCCTCGCTCGATGGGCGCTTCAAGCAGCACGGCCATACATCTCGTGAGGGTCGTGTTTGCCGAGCCGTTCCCACAGGCGCTGGACGGGCCGGCCAGATGGTGGCGAAGGAACGAGTTAGGTGCCAAAGTCGGAGTCGGAGCCAGCCGGAGCCAGAGCGGGCAAACAGAAAAGTCATTTATCTATGTGGCTGGAGGTGACGCGGTCTCGACAGTCGACAGGCGTGGCGGTGGCGGCGCAGATGGCCACTTGTCTGGAGAGGGAGGGAGGGGTGTCGAATCCAGTTGGAAGTTTGGCCCGCTGGGGGGTAAGGGGAGGGGGGAGGGCCAATCAGAGAGG